CTGCTAGAAATTTTCCGGAGGACCCCTCGTACTTGAACACGAGTTATGTGCAGATTGCAGGTTGCAGCGGCTGGAGAAGATGACCGTGCGCGGCGCAAAGAAGAAAGTCTAGAAAGAAAATAGGGATCCTTTATAACAATTGACCCAAAATGACAGTGTTTTGGCCAATTGTTTTAATCTTTTTTAAAAATAAATAAAAGAGAAGCAAAACGCTGTTGTTTGTCCATGACTCCATATTGTTTTAAAGCCCAACCCCACTTATTTCCCCAGAGTCCCCTCTTTCCCCGCTCATCTGCTTTTCCCCCAATGCCCCATCTTTATTATATTCACTCAAATTCCAATGCAACTCCCCTATTTCAAAACCCTAAATTTCTTTCCCCATATGTTTTTTCATGTATTGGTAATGAAACTATTATGAAATATTTTCTGTCACGCCCCGATCCTGAAATACGTCCATGATTGACACATGATGTTACCAAATACCAATATCACTCATATACCCTGCCTTCGGGATATGGACAATGCACAACTCAAGATTCGAATTTCATGATAATTTTTCCTTATACTTTATGGCTACATCTAACCTTCTCGTTAGACTGCCTACGTACCCTCAAAAGGGATCAAGCCATTTGTAGTTCACTTTGGCTATAACTCGACATATAACACAGTCTGTTCAAGCCAAAATGCATAACATTCCTCAATCAAACATTTGGACTTGAAGAGCATGAATTATTCGATTCAAACTACATAACAACCCGCATGACAATCAAGGTTTCTATTTCATCCATCATATAAATCATTATGTTTCACATAATACCGCAATTCATAGTATAACATATCAAAGAACCAATGAAGCACAATATTATTCTCAATTCACAATGATCACTGATCTAATTGTATTAATAACAATCATATTCAACATCCTTCCACAATCATCTCAAGTAACCCATTCCATGATATCAAGGAGGCATGATATTAACATTTAATTGTGTTAATATCAGTCAGATCACACCTCAATGCACAAAATTAATAAAGGACTTCCATATAATTCCCTGCTTGGATTTCAAGTAATAACTTGATAATTCTAATTTATATTCACAAGATCTATTGTGATTAATTCCCATTCACTCGAATCCAGGGTACAAGTCTAACTTATGGAAATGAGCAAGAGTAGGAATTCCGGACCACTCAACGGAATCCAAATCACATCGGTTTCCGGATCACTTAATGGAACCAAAATTATCAATCGGTTTCTCACATGTAAAATTAGTGTCATCGATCACAATCCATAAATATCAAGTATAGAATCATGCTTTATGAAATTATAATCAAGTCACTGACAACTTTGAAGGAGTCACCCAGACATCCAACTACTTTTCTAATTCAAAGCACAAGATTCTCAAAATCCATCGTTCATATGTACATTAAAAACTAGGGCTAGAGGGATGCAATTCGGCCGAAGCCTACATCTTTGAAGCCATCATAATTCAAATTCAATAAATCCCAAGGTGAGTACGATCCCGAACCTTCACTCAATGGAATCGCGAAATAAGAGGGATTCCGGACCATCTCTCAACTGAATCCAAGTGGATACGATTCTGGACTCTCACTTAACGGAATCGCTAAGTACAATACATAACAATAACTAAATGAAACCCAAGTTAGATACGATTCCGGAACATCACTCAACGGAGTCGCGAAGTAGGAAGGATTCCAGACCATCTCTCAACGGAATCCGAGTGGATACGATTCCAGACCATCACTCAACGGAATCGCGAAGTAGGAAGGATTCTGGACCATCTCTCAACGAAATCCGAGTGGATACGATTCCGGACCATCACTCAACAGAATCGCAGAAGGCCAATAACCATATATACAACGTCTTAAAGAAATAAGACAAGCATAAGTTACTTAATTTACAAAAGCTCAACCAAGGGAAATAAAGCACAAATACTAAATTTAGAACGAATCAACGAAGCGAGAGATGAAACCATATCGAAGCAACAAATCTCCATCACCACGGGTTAACGGTCTACCACTAGTCCTCACATTTCATCACAACATGTCAATCAAACCAATCAAACCATATTTCAATTTATTCATGTCAAATCTCATTTCATAAACTTAAATCAATGGCTAAACATTAAAAATAACAATTCAATAGAAAACATATTTATAAAACCAAGTCATATTCACATAGGGTAACAATTACGAAAATAGGGTAATCACCAATATCACATATATTAAAGTTACTCACCTGAGGTTCACACTAACGCACTCTAGCATGGAATTCAAGGCATCAAGCTCTATCACCACCAAAAACAAAGCACAAGTCCACATTTACATTTCTCTCAATAAATTCACATACTCAAAACTCTCATAAGTCTCCCACAACAACATTTAATGAGAATCAAACCGTCGATCAAATGTATGGTCCATGATCTTACATCACTTGCTCCGTAAGATCCAACCACTAGATTTTCACTAGTAAGTTCCTAAGGTCCAACAACTAATAACTAGGGTGCTCACAAAATTGTACGACGATCCAATGATCGGATTGTCGTCAATCATGCAAACGAGTGATGGTCCAATTTGATCACCACACCAAACAATTGAATTTCGGAAAACTGAGCTAGACATAGGTTCATAGGGTCACTAGAAGGTATTGAGTACTTAGACAACACTTGTGGACGGTTCCACGCACCGCCACACACGATGCTAGCCATGGTGAAGGGTTTGAAAACCCAAAATTTCAACATTAACTAGATGAGCTCAAATTTATGTGTCAACAAGGGAAACACTTTTCACAAATAAGCCGACGACCAATTCTAACTGGATTCTAGGGTTCTAAACACCCAACTCCAAAATGAATACGAAAGTACAAACCAAGCATACCAACTTGAAGATTATGAAGAGTAGATGAAGTTTCATACCTCACTCGAAGGAAATGATTGCCGGATTCACCGGAAAATTGATAAAACCGATGGAAACCCACAGAACTTTGCTGCCTCGAACTGGAAAAATGGATAAGAAAATGAGAAATTTAAAAGTACAAAGATATAGGGCTCGCCAAGAGCTTTCCATGGACACCAAGATCACCCAAAACGGACCTAGGATGAAGGAGATATGAGCGGGTCAAGATGGTGGGTTAATGGGTCGAAATCGCCCATAAAGGGTCGAAATCAGCCATTCCGATTTTTTTTTTTTTTTTCAGAATCCTTTCCCTCTCTAATTGGTCTCTCCCTCTTTTATTAAACTCACTTAATCTTTAACCCACACGTGGAAATTAAATAATTTCTACAATCTATAGCTTACAACTTCAAACGTCTGTAACTATACCGTTATAACTCGGACTCGCAAACCGCTTTCGCCTATGCGCTCGTGGCTTCGAGTCCTATTTGAAAACGTTACTTGTGACCTCAAAAGAGCAATGAATTTTAAATAGTTATTTTCCAAACTTCACTCTTCGTAACTAGTTTAATTAAAATCTAAATCCAAACAATTTAAAATAAATTCTCGAGAAATAATATAAAATCTCAATAGTACAAATATGTAGATTATAACAGTGAAATTCGGGAACGAGATTTCACATTTTCAGACTATGAAACCTTGTTGTTGACGCTTGAATTAAAATTTTATAGCTTGTAATGTTGTTTTGCACATCAATAAAAACAAAACTGGCTAGAGCTCAAATTTATGTGGTAGCTAGAGCTCAACAAGGAAACACTTTTCACAAATAAGCCGACGACCAATTCTAACCGGAAGCCGTCCAAATTCATCGGTGAAAACCGGGTTTATAGGGTTCTAAACGCCCAACTCTAAAACGAATACGAAAGCACAAACCAAGCATACCAACTTGAAGATTATGAAGAGTAGATGAAGTTTCATACCCCACTCGAAGGAAATGATTGCTGGATTCACCGGAAAATTGATAAAATTGCCGGAAACCCACGGAACTTTGCTGCCTCGAACTGGAAAAATGGATAAGAAAATGAGAAATCTAAAAGTACAGAGATGTAGGGCTCGCCAAGAGCTTTCCATGGACACCAAGATCACCCAAAACGGACCTAGGATGAAGGAGATATGAGCGGGTCAAGATGATGGGTTAATGGGTCGAAATCGCCCAAAAAAGGGTTGAAATCAGCCATTCCGGTCTTTTTTTTTTTTTTTTTTTTTTTTTTTTTTCATAAACCTCTCCCTCTCTAATTGGTCTCTCTCCCTTTTTTATTAAACTCACTTAATCTTTAACCCACACGTGGGAATTAAATAATTCCCACAATCTATAGCTTACAACTTCAAACGTCTGTAACTATACCGTTATAACTCGGACTCGCAAACCGCTTTCGCCTATGCGCTCGTGGCTTCGAGTCCTATTTGAAAACGTTACTTGTGACCTCAAAAGAGCAACGAATTTTAAATAGTTATTTTCCAAACTTCACTCTTCGTAACTAGTTTAATTAAAATCTAAATCCAAACAGTTTAAAATAAATTCTCGAGAAATAATATAAAATCTCAATAGTACAAATATGTAGATTATAACAGTGAAATCCGGGAACGGGATTTCACATTTTCAGACTATGAAACCTTGTCGTGGACGCTTGAATTAAGATTTTATAGCTTGTAATGTTTTGCGTATAATTTTTGAATGAAATTTATTATATTTAACTTTTTAATGTTATTTTAGTATATAAATTTTTTGACATTTATTATTGGGACCCTCCAAGTTTAAAATCCTAGTTCCGTTACTACATATATACACTATACAATTTACAATTTACCTTTACCAACGTCAATCTTCAAATATAGTTCTGTGGTCCAATTACAGTTCCATGTTTACTATTCTACAAATCAGGTCATGTAGTTAGCGTGGTCATATTGAAGACTAACAATGCTCAAAAATTCCAAGCGTCAACTCCACGCTTGACGGGAAGACTCGGGTCAGTCAACACTGGCACCATCAGCTCTTGATTGAGTAGAAAATCCTTTCAGAAATTCCAAGCGTAAAGAAAGGATTAGAAACTGTGCACCTCCAAAGTTGTTACTAGCTCCCATATTTATTTGTGACGCATACAAACTGGCGAAAAAACATATCATACTGCAACTCAAAACCATGACATTTCTTTATATGCTCCTGCTGCTGTCCGCATTCCCACTGATCAAAACGACATCTATATCTCCAAGAAAACAAGCTGAATCGCTCATCAAATGGAAGGACGACTGGTCTTCATCATCATCGCCACCTTCGCTACTCAATTCATGGTCCCTCACCAACCTCAACAGCCTCTGCAACTGGACTGCCATTTCCTGCTCCAAAACCAGAACAGTCTCCAAAATAGACCTCTCCAATATGCAAATTCTCGGAACACTGTCCCTCTTCGACTTTCCCTTATTTCCAAATCTCACACACTTCAATCTAAATGGCAACAATTTCGTAGGGCGTATACCGCATGCCATTGGAAATCTCTCCAGGCTCACATCTTTGGACTTGGGCAACAACTTTTTTAATCATCAAATTCCATCGGAGATTGACGAGGTAACAGAGCTTCAGTATCTAAATCTCCGCAACAACAGTCTCTCTGGTACCATCCCTTATCAACTGAGCAATCTCCAAAAGGTATGGTACATGGACCTTGGATTAAACTATTTTTTCTCTGCTGATCAAGATTGGTCTCAATGCCGGAACTTGACGTTCCTCGACTTGTCTCAAAATAATTTGATTGGCAAAATTCCACCTTCGATAGGCCAACTTAGAAAGCTCCAGTACCTTGATCTTTCATACAACTCCTTAGACTCTTCTATCCATTCTGAGCTTGGTCTTTGTACAAACCTCACCCACTTGAGTTTAGCTAATAACCGATTCTCTGGCACGATTCCGGACAATATAGGTTTGATTTCTGGTCTTCAACGTGTTGACCTGAGTATAAATCTTCTGGAAGGGAAAATTCCATCCTCTGTAGGCCAACTCAGGGAGCTCCAGTACCTTGATCTTTCATCCAACTCCTTAAACTCAACAATCCCTTCTGAACTTGTTCTTTGTACAAACCTCACCTACTTGTACTTGTCTTCCAATAAACTCAATGGGGAACTGCCTCTTTCCTTGTCCAATCTGAACAACCTCGTCGAATTGGCTGTAGATAATAACCGATTCTATGGCACGATTCCACCTTCGATAGGCCAACTCAGGGATCTCCAGTACCTTAATCTTTCATACAACTCCTTAAACTCTTCCATCCCTTCTGAGCTTGGTCTTTGTACAAACCTCACCCACTTGTCCCTGGCTTCCAATAAACTAAACGGGGAACTGCCTCTGTCCTTGTCCAATTTGAACAACCTCGTCGAATTGGGTTTAGCAAATAACCAATTCTCTGGCACGATTTCGGACAATATAGGTTTGATTTCTGGTCTTCAACATATTGACCTGGGTATGAATCTTCTGGAAGGGGAAATTCCACTCTCTATAGGCCAACTCAGGGAGCTCCAGTACCTAAATCTTTCATACAACTCCTTAAACTCATCAATCCCTTCTGAACTTAGTCTTTGTACAAACCTCAACCGCTTGTCCTTGTCTTCCAATAAACTCAACGGGGAACTGCCTTTGTCCTTGTCCAATCTGAACAACCTCGTCGAATTGGGTTTAGATAATAATCTATTTACTGGTCAAATCCTTCCTTCTCTGGTCTCCAATTGGATTAATATGGAATCTTTGCAACTTCAGTCCAATGAACTCAGTGGGGAGATTCCGACGGAAGTTGGAAATATGAGCTTTCTGTTGACGCTCAATCTAAGTAGGAACCACTTGACAGGAGTGATCCCTCAGACTCTAGTCAATTTAGCTCAGCTTGAGCTGCTCGATTTGTCACACAACCATCTTTCAGGGCAAATCCCATCACTTCTCAACATGTTTTTTCTTCGTGACTTGGATTTTTCTTATAACAACTTGACTGGCCCAATCCCAGGCATTTTCCAATGGGCACCAGCAAATGCTTTTGTTGGAAACTCTGGCTTGTGTGGGGAGGTTGTAAATATTATATGCGATTCCCCCATCAGAAATTCAAAAAAGAATAGCAGAAGAGTTCTAATTGGTGTCCTTGTACCTGTTTGTCTAATTGTTGTCCTTGTACCTGTTTGTGGTTTATTAATGGTTACAAGTGTCATTGCTCTTATGTTCCGTAAGAAACCCAGTCTTGTTCGGAACAAAGTCAACACTTCTGAAAACTTTGAGAGTTTGGAGTCAATGATATTGCAAGAGGAAGTAAAGTTTACGTTTGCGGAAGTTGTGAAGGCTGTAGATGACTTTCATGACAAGTACTGCATTGGGACAGGAGGGTTTGGAAGGGTTTACAAGGCAGAGTTGCAATCAGGCCAAGTTGTTGCAGTTAAAAGGCTTAACATGTCAGACTCTAATGATATTCCAGCAATCAATCTCCATAGCTTTCAAAATGAAATCCGAACTTTGACAAGCATCCGGCACCGGAACATCATAAGGCTCTATGGCTTCTGTTCAAGAAGGGGGGGTTGCATATTCCTGCTTTATGAATACTTAGAGAGAGGAAGCCTGGGAAAAGCTTTGTATGGAGTTGAAGGTGTTAATGAACTTGGCTGGGCTACTAGAGTCAAAATTGTGCAAGGACTTGCTCATGCACTTTCTTACTTGCACCATGATTGCTCTCCACCAATTGTGCACCGTGACATAACCGTCAACAATGTATTGCTTGAGTCTGATTTCGAGGTTCGTCTCTCAGATTTCGGAATAGCCAGGTTATTGAGTACTGATTCATCCAACTGGACAGATATTGCTGGTTCGTTTGGCTACATAGCACCAGGTAATGTAAACTTAATTTGTACATTTATGATTCATCTTTTTGCTTATTGGGATATGTTTTAAGGTAGCCAGTTTTGTTTTTATTGATGTGCAGAGCTTGCATACACTATGCGAGTCACGGATAAATGTGATGTATATAGCTTTGGAGTGGTGGCGCTCGAAGTCATGATGGGAAGGCACCCAGGGGATATGCTAGAGTCCCAGCTACAAGAATCATCAAAATCAAGGAGGGACAATGTAGAATTGCTGCTGAAAGATTTGTTAGACCAAAGGTTGGAGCCGCCAACCAACGAATCTGCAAAGGCAGTGGTGCTTGTGGTGACAATGGCCTTGGCCTGTATACGAACGCGTCCTGCGTCCAGACCCACAATGTTATTTGCGGCACAAAAACTCTCAGCTCAAACCCTGCCTTGCCTACCTGAACCATTTGGTATGTTGACAATCAACAAGCTAATGGCACTATAAAAAATAAAACAAAATAAAATAGAAGACAAGGGCGAATAGCTCAAACTTCCCTTTTGTATTCCTGCCACACGCAATTCCATCTAATTTCTCATGTAATACATCTTCAGTACCGTAATTACTCATCTGTATTATTTCTCGAATGTGGATTAATGTGTGATGAAATTTCTTAATCGTAATTGCATTAAACCGATAATCCATCATGTGTCAAAATAACTCCACTATTAATAATAAAAAAAATTGAATTATGGATTTGTGTCCTTCCTCTAGTTCAAAGAGCTACCCTAAAAAATTGAACCTACATGGATCATTTTCGCCATGGATTATTTTGAAAGCAAACACGTATGGAACTACAATATGCAATCTAACCTTGCATCTTTGAACCATGTCGCGCGTCGAAGTACATTTGATCTTCCAGGCATTCTTAAACTTTTCCGCTATGTCGAATATAGGTTTGTGCCTTTCCTCTCTAAATCTGCAACAGCCAGAACTGCTTTCACTTTCACACTACAGCACAATATAAGACACTTCGACACGACAATCTGTTAAATTAGTAAATGGGGAAGTGGTGGAATAACACCGTAGTATTGTGAGCAAGTCTCGGGTGTCGAGGCCATGGGGGAGGTCCCTGTGGCTTTGGAACTACCCACATAATGATAAACAAGCGTGGCTGCTGTGCCTCAATCCAACACTGACCAGGACAGCAAATCTATAATTGTAACTCTTTTAGTTTAATCGTTGTCCTACACGGATTCATCAAACCAAAAGCACATATGGATTGGAGACATGGGGAGACAGTATGGTATCTGCTTACTGGTTGACTTGCTTTAAACGATTTTCGAGCTGAAAATTTCTCGCAAAACTAATAAACAAGAACAGAGAATGCAGCAAATAAGTTGACTCTGCAGAAGTTGCTGAAAGAGCAAAAATAGCTGGATGAGATGTGACCCTTATCGCGTTGGACTTCAATTGTCAGGTGATACTTTCAGGCCACGCTTTGCCTTAAACCGACTGCATATGATTGTTAAAAGACTGACCAAAACTGTTATAAGAGTCCAGATTTTCACTTTGTGGTTCATTCACCTACGCAATGACAAACGTTCTACAATCGAACTAACAAAGAGACGCATGCAGTGAGAAATCATCTTCGTTGAATTCTGAATCAACTCCCTCGTGTCCATCAAACTCAGCAAGGCCCATGAACATATCAATTGGAACTTCTTTTGATACAATATCTTCTTCTATGCGATCGTTAACCACACCAACTGGTTCACTGAAGTGAACTTTTCCATTTCGGGTTCTACAGCATAATATTTGGTATCTTAAGGTACAATTTTCTCACAACTTTTGGTTGCCCTGCTCAACCCTGAAGGCAAAGTATTAGTCTGCCGGACACCATGTTCCTATCATGGTGTTTTAACGGAATTGAATCTGGTGGAGTTCCAGAAGCTGTTATACTTATGCACTTCCGGGGTGACAAGGAAAAGTAATTACGGTATGGTATCTGCTTACTTATGCACCCCTGATCAAGCAGTGCTCCCTCAATAATAGCACTCTAAAATAAACAAAAAATTTAACTCATAATCTTATTTGTGAAAAAAGAATGCTGTGAAAAAAATATAACATATCATCAATTTTTCATTTCCAAGATATGATGTAAAAACGAGTCACTAAAATAAACAACCAATAATTACACGTACCTTTTTCAACAAATTAATCAAACAATGTTGTACAAACTAACTTTGAGAGTGAGGAACCGTAAAAGGTAGGTGCTTTGGCCTTCCTCCACGCATTATATACCGAAGAAAAGATTACATGTTGTCTATAGATTTCCTCGGGATTGACAAAAATACAGAAGAAAACCACCAGCTAGACAAAATTGACACAAGTCCTCATCCTGCTCCGCTTCAAGATCATGACGATGACAACGATGATGGTGATGAGCAGTTGTCATCAGGTGCAGCAGGTTGTTGTGCATGATCTAGATTAGGGTACTCACTACGCATCATCTCTCCTCCAATACGATCAAAGATATTCGCAATCAAGTCCTCATAATCATCTCATTCATCTGTTGTTCTTATTCCCGTCTCGATCTCATCTGCAACAGAGGCCGCAGCAGCAGCAGCAGGATCAGACAGGAGATCAAACTCTCCCATCAAGGCCTCCAAATCGAATCTCAAAAGATCATCATCATCTTTTCTCTCACTGCCTCTCTATCTGACCCTGCAGTGCAGCAGGGCAGACGCCTAACAAACTGCAAAACCACAATCAACACTTTGAAGAACTCTTCAAAATGAGATCATTTTAATACGGTCCACAACTTCATACCGAAAAGTGCATGTTGAACAAAAAAAATACATGACATATAAAAAATAAGGTCCATACAGATTGGGTCAAACTACAAGGCAAAACAAGATGTAATCCAGCCCAACAAAAATGAGGATGGGCTTTACATACATCCATAAATAAATAAAATATGCATTTCCCTACAAAAGAGGGAAGAAACATACAAAATCAGCGGCTCCCCCATTTTCTGCAACAAAAAGAAAAGTGGAGTCAGTTTAAGATAAAGTGGCGAAAAGAAAGGCCTCTATCCTCCCCCACGTAAGAACTCTGGAAACCTCCTAAGATGCCTATAAATAGGCATCAACCACAGCAAGGAGGGGACGAACAAAAAAAAGAGGGAGACGCTGCAGAAATTGAAGCACACAGGAAACGGAAACAGGGTAGAGTGACAAGAAAACGTTGCAGAAATTGAGAAGCACAAGAGGAAGGAAATCGACAAAAAAAAAAAAGACAGGCAGCAAAAGAAAGCAAAAGGGAACAGCAACAAGAAGCCAAATATAGAGAAGAAAGCTTAAAAAGGTATTTTTATTCTCTTAATGGATTCATGATTTTTATTAGGAGGTTGTTGTTTGTCTTTTGCAGAAAAAAAAAGGGGAGGTTTCCTTTTCTTCTTGTTTGACCGAAGCAAAGAAGATGTTGGTGGAAACATGCATCACCAACAATTCACACGGACCCCCCCATACCTGTCCTCGCTTCTTCTTCTTCTCCACCAACGGAGACATTTGCCGTCTTCTTCGCCAATAGCAGTAAAGAAACCATCGTCTCTGCCACCAACAGCGGCCATGCAGTGACTTCTATGCCCAGCAAGTTCGTCCGTGCCGCTGCCGTCAATCCCATGAATTTCTTCGGGTTGGTTTAAACCATCCCGTGAAGTTCCAATCAAATCTAAGTGCTTCGTGCCGCTGCAGTTAGTCCCATGAATTTCTTCGGGGTGGTCTAAACCACCCCATGAAGTTCCAATCAAACCTGAAAGCTCCGTGAGAGTCCCGACGCCATGCTCTGTCTTCTCAACGTTGAAGATGTCGAAAACTGCAGCAACAAACACGGACATGGAAAAGCAACAAGAAGCATGGACCGGCGGCAACGAAATCAGTCGAAGTCTTCCTACGTTACAAAGGGTGCTAGAATGACGCCGACTTCAAGCACCAGCGGGAATGAAGATTGCTCTCAGGTCACTAACGGAAGAGAGAACACAAAGGGTTCCTCAGGCATCTAGATGGTTTGCAAAGGAAAAGTAAAGACTTATTTCCATATGGAAGCAAAGACTTGTTGTGCTGCTGTGCAAGGATAAAAGTTGACAACAAAGTGACGGGCATGAAGACAAAATGAGATGGGTTTCAAGACAAAGTAAAGGAAGGCAAATAAAAGAAAGAAAAGTTGTTCATCACGTGGGAGTCTAGGTCTCACCCTAAATGCACTAGGCTTTGATTATTAAAGGAAAAGACATGGGATACAAGAGTTCCACCCAAAGCTTTTCGTGCTAGGAATTCGAAAGATAAGGGAAAAATGGAGATTGCAAAATCTGCAAAGGAAAGCTACAGTAGAGAAGAAGAGAAAGAAATTTGTCTTCTAAACCATGCATGTGGTCACTTAAAAATGGGCAGTTGTCTTCCATGCAATTCAAAATAAATGGAAAGCTAAAATATGGTTTTCCTTTTCAAACACCACCACTTGAAGCTCTATTTGGGACTTAGAAAATGGGAAGTCTTCAAATAGAAGAAGAAAGAAGCTTGCTGCAAAACAAAATCTCTCCAAGTTAAGTGGGAAAGCTGCCCACGTGGAGAACAAAGAAAAGTCACGGCTCCTTATCTAAATTATGGGTTTTGTGAACTTGGAATGTTAATCAAAAGCATGTAGACAAAAGCTACAAGCCAAAAGTAAAGGAAAGAGTTTAAAATTCAAAAGAAAAGAAGACATGTTCATCCATGCATTAGAAGACAAACAAAGAGACGGAAGCATTACTCTTTTGTCCAAGAAATAAAAAAGGATGGAAAGAAGCATCACATGGATAAAAGCAATGGCAGATGAATATGTGTCATTGTCTTCAGTCTTCAGTGTACCGTTTATTTGAAATAAGAGTTAAAACTCTAAAAAAAAAAAGAGCAGGCTAAAGATACCTCAGAAGTGTTCAACCAACCAAAAATAAAAGGCTGTTTAAATGCCTTTTCAGTCCATATGGCATGAATCCCATCTTCAAATCAAGGAAATGACAAAGTCCTATTTACCTTGTACTGCACATCCCTCGTGGGTTGCTACTTAAAAAAAACAAAAGTGAAGTCCCATTTCACAAAGATCTATTGAATATTACCAAAGGTCATGTATGGGTTTCAAACAAGTCCAAATACCCAATTGACTTCTTATTTTTTCCAAGTCTGAACACAAGAATGCAAATCCAAATAAGCATGTATGAACTACGCCGGTTTGATTCCGTTAAGGATACGTAGGCAGTCTGATATCAAATTTTAGACGCAACCGTGAAACCGAAATGAATCCCTGGTTTATATAAACTAAATTTCACTCCTACCATCAAATACCAAAATGGCACGAAGCCAAAGAAAAAGTTTCAAAGGGCACGAAGCCGTATCAAAGTCTCAAATGGCATGAAGCCATATCAAATTTTCAAATGCTCCTCGCCCGCATGAGCTGAAACTGCATAAGGCACTATGCTCCTCGCCCGCATGAGCTAAAACTGCACAAGGCATCAAATCCAAATAAATACCAAATCCCTGAACTACGAGTGACTTGATCCCTCAAGAGGGTACGTAGGCAATCTAGGATTCGACCTAGGTGCAGTCACAAAATCAAACAAACACACAAATCCTCAAGTTACATTTTTATTCGAATTGGAATCAAAGGGTATTTCTTTCCCAAAAGAAAGATTGTAATTAATAGGCGTGTAGCCTAGAATGGGTCGAACTCGAATTAATAAAACCCTCTTCGAAAAATGAACGAGGGTGAAATTGTGTCGAGTGAATTATTTGTTTACATATTATGTACAATTTTTGCTCAACAGTGCATACATAGACAACATGAAACAACAAATATGCCACAATTTGAAGCATGAAAAGGCAGAGCATACCTTGCCTGCGGATGATATACTATCGGAGGGAGGAACGGAAAAAGGTAGGTGCATTGGCCCTCCTTGCAATATATACTTCTTGACTGTACATAAATTTGAAGGTCAATAATGTCGAATAAGAAACAAGAGTATAAGGCATACAAGGAAGCCTTGTTCAATTCGACAAAGACAGACTGTTCTGAAATCTAAAATCACAACCTATGAGTGCCATGTTCACCATCACTGTGTACTCTCTTAATACCTAACGATAATTTATATACTTATTCTTAGCGTGTAAACGATAACAAACATAAAAAATAATAGCAGACACATCAGAAATGCAATTGAAGGCACTTATTCTTAGCGTGTAAACGATAACAAACATAAAAATAAAAGCAGACACATCAGAAATGCAATTGAAGGCACTTTCTTTCAAATGATTAAAAGCAAAACAGTCCAAAAACACAACTGAGGACAACAGCGAGAAACTTGCATTGCTGGTCCAAAACAGAACATGACACATCTAATATAGACTAAGGTATGAATACTAAAAATTAAAGAGAGAAAACTTACATTCCACAAAAAATCCATAAAAACAGTGGCAAGAAACATGATAATTGTTCTTATCGTCAACAAAACTATCAACACGTTCACAAACTGACACAGAACCCTTAACACACCATGTTACCATCAAAATTCAAGCACAATACATAGAACATGCACACGCTCAATAGCCACATATGCAGAGGGAGTAATTCAAAGGAAAAGAAAACAGTAATTTGGTTTTCAAATTTAGTATAGTAATTAAAATCATCAACCTTGAAACCTTTTGTCAATAAAAATAAAAAGAAAGTAAGAAACTTGGGTGGAAAAGAAATGTATTATAAAGCATTCAGTGCATTAAAATTGGAAACGATCCTAGAAGCACATACATACACATGACTGGGGGAAACACAGTAGAGACCTGAGGTGCGGCAAAATGAAAGGCAGGCAATGGATCAGTACGGCAGAGAAGAAGGCCCAGGTAAACACCTATACCAAATTTCTTAATTAACTAATGAACCAAAAGAAATCAAAGCATATATACTAAGAACGGAAATAAAATCTATCCTGATCATAACTGTGCTTCTATATGCACGCCATGGAAATTAGACAGCTGCTGTCACCTCTACGTCCCTCTATTGATCATTCACAGAATCGCTCATCCACAAACAGTCTGTCCAGTAATTGAACCCGTCTAACGGTTGGCTGAATTCGTCAATTTGAGGCCACTCCCGGGGCAATTTACCTTCAAGCGTTGTCAACCATTCTTTAATGTCTCCACGCACTGCTTCACCATCTAAAGGATATTCCTTGCCGCCCAAGAATACCAGAGAAGAAGGAACATCACTCATCAGTGGCACAAATTCATGATCTGAAATATGAGTGGGAATGGGCATCACATTTCCGTTAATGCAGCTTATGCACCCCTGGTCGTGATTGCTTGTGTCACCATCCAAGCATATGCGATACGAAGGAACATCACTCATCAATATCACACTATCCTGATCAGAGAATCAGTTGGCTTCGCATTGCCGTTAATGTTGGTTATCCACTCCTGGTCCTGATATCTAGTGTCAGTAATCATATTGCTTTCAGTTCCAACAAAAGGCACAACAGCAGGGGTATTGGTGATCACATTCACATTAGAATGTTTTTGTGAACGTGGTTCTTTTCTTGCTCTCTTTTCTCTTAATCAGCAACTTCTCATTCGATACTTCTTTTCTTGCCCTCTTAATCGGTGGTTTCTCATTGAAGTCGTGAGTTGGACTTGAGGAATTCATCTTGTTTCCGCACCCTAGACCTCGGATTCCTTTTAAGTCGGGAAAGAACGACCTTTGGGCCAGCAACTACATTAGGAAGAAGACTGTACTCTTCTAACAGCTAGTAGCCATTGTTGTTAGAACCCTTGTTGTTGTACCTGAAATGCCCTAACCAATTCATGGTCCCTCACCAACATCAACAGCCTCTGCAACTGGACTGCCATTTCCTGCTCCAAAACCAGAACAGTCTCCAAAATAGACCTCTCCAATATGCACATTTTCGGATCACTGCCCCTTTTCGGCTTTCCCTTATTTCCAAATCTCACCCACTTCAATCTAAGTGGCAACAATTTCCAAGGGCCTATACCGCATGCCATTGGAAATCTCTCCAGGCTCACGTCTTTGGACTTGGGCAACAACTTTTTTGATCAACAAATTCCATCTGAGATTGACCAGGTAACAGAGCTTCAGTATCTAAATCTCCGCAACAACCGTCTCTCTGGTACCATCCCTTATCAACTGAGCAATCTCCCAAAGGTATGGTACATGGACCTTGGATTAAACTATTTTTTCCCTGCTGATCAAGATTGGTCAGAATTTGCAGGCATGCCTTCATTGACCTACCTTGCTATGTCTATGCAACGTGATAATCTATATCATTCAGAATTCCCAGAATTTATATCTCAATGCCGGAACTTGACGTTCCTCAACTTGTCTCATAATAATTTGAATGGCCAAATTCCACCTTCGATAGGCCAACTCAGGGAGCTCCAGTACCTTGATCTTTCATACAACTCCTTAAACTCTTCTATCCCTTCTGAGCTTGGTCTTTGTACAAAACCTCACCCCACTTGAGTTTAGCTAATAACCGATTCTCTGGCACGATTCCGGACAATATAGGTTTGATTTCTGGTCTTCAACGTGTTGACCTGAGTATGAATCTTCTGGAAGGGAAAATTCCATCCTCTGTAGGCCAACTCAGGGAGCTCCAGTACCTTGATCTTTCATCCAACTCCTTAACCTCAACAATCCCTTCTGAACTTGTTCTTTGTACAAACCTCACCTACTTGAGTTTAGCTAATAACCGATTTTCTGGCACGATTCCGGACAATATAGGTTTGATTTCTGGTCTTCAACGTGTTGACCTGAGTATAAATCTTCTGGAAGGGAAAATTCCATCCTCTGTAGGCCAACTCAGGGAGCTCCAGTACCTTGATCTTTCATCCAACTCCTTATACTCAACAATCCCTTCTGAACTTGTTCTTTGTACAAACCTCACCTACTTGTACTTGTCTTCCAATAAACTCAATGGGGAACTGCCTCTGTCCTTGTCCAATCTGAACAACCTCGTCGAATTGGGTTTAGCAAAGAACCAATTCTCTGGCACGATTTCGGACAATATAGGTTTGATTTCTGGTCTTCAACATATTGACCTGGGAATGAATCTTCTGGAAGGGGAAATTCCACTCTCTATAGGCCAACTCAGGGAGCTCCAGTACCTAAATCTTTCATACAACTTCTTAAACTCATCAATCCCTTCTGAACTTGGTCTTTGTACAAACCTCAACCGCTTGTCCTTGTCTTCCAATAAACTCAACGGGGAACTGCCTTTGTCCTTGTCCAATCTGAACAACCTCGTCGAATTGGGTTTAGATAATAATCTATTTACTGGTCAAATCCTTCCTTCTCTGGTCTCCAATTGGACTAATATGGAATCTTTGCAACTTCAGTCCAATGAACTCAGTGGGGAGATTCCGACGGAAGTTGGAAATATGAGCTTTCTGTTCACGCTCAATCTAAGAAGGAACCATTTGACAGGAGTGATCCCTCAGATTCTAGGCAATTTAATTTATCTTAAGCTGCTCGATTTGTCACACAACCATCTTTCGGGGCAAATCCCATCATTTGTCAACACATATATTTTCTTAATGCTTTTAATTTTTCTTATAACAACTTGTCTGGCCGAATCCCATGCGTTTTCCAAAGGGCATCAAAAAATCCTTTTGTTGGAAACTCTGGCTTGTGTGGGCTATGTAGAGTGTGTAGACACTGTACCCCCTCGGCACAACATACCCCCTCGGCACAACAGAAATTTCAAAAAGAATAACAAAAGAGTTCTAATTGGTATCCTTGTGCCTGTTTGTGGTTTATTAATGGTTACAACTGTCATTGGTCTTATGTTCCGTAAAAAATCCAGTCTCGTTTTGAACAAAGTCAACACTTCTGAAAACTTTGAGAGTTTGGAGTCAATGATATTGCAAGAGGAAGTAAAGTTTACGTTTGCGGAAGTTGTGAAGGCTGTAGATGACTTTCATGACAAGTACTGCATTGGGACAGGAGGGTTTGGAAGGGTTTACAAGGCAGAGTTGCAATCAGGCCAGGTTGTTGCAGTTAAAAGGCTTAACATGTCAGACTCTAATGATATTCCAGCA